GTGGTTATGATCTTACACAATCTCCATTTGACAAATAGGGGAACTGCATGGTTAACAAAGCTTCTGTCAGGTCAGTCACTGCTCATATGTGGGTATGCAATGCCTTCCAGCCAGTTTTCTCCTGTTGTTGCCTAGGTATGGCCCCTTATTTTTCATTATGATAAATAATATAGTATTGTTTTTATTCAATTTTTTGTTTCTCTGGAGACAAGCTCTCATGTAAGCACAGGCTGGCTAAGAACTCTCAATGTAGCCAAGGATAGCCTTGAGTACCTGATCCTCCAGGCTCAGATTCCAGGCCTGTGCCACCTTGCCTGGCTTGGTAGTTACTATTTTTATATGTAAATTTGTGTCAAATTTCTGATTATTTCCTAATAAAACTTACTCAGAGTATTTTAAAGTTTTGACACATCTTGCCAGTCGCCTTCCTGAAAAGTTAGATCATTTTACAGGCAGTGACTAATTTTAAAATGGGAGGGAAAGACAGGAGGGGAGTGATACTTCACAAAGGAGGCATTCAGGCCAGAGCTTGCAGGATGAGTAGGGTTTCACTGGAGAGAGACAGAGTGAGCAGAACATTCCAGAGGGGAAAGAAAGCGCTTGTACCACAGGAGGAAGAGCCTTTGTCCTGCGCTGAGGCTTCTCTGATTTGCCACTTGAAGCCCTTGGGATTTGTTTACTGTAGAACTGGCAGGAGGAACATCAGGCTAAATAAAGAAAGAGGAAGTTAGAGATATACATGTGAGCCTACACATTCACGAGTTAAAAATACTCTCAGACAGAAGTTTTTTTGAAGCTGTGGGACGTGTATGTTGGTCTGGTCCTTTTTTCCTCACCGGGAAACATTGTCACTTAGAAGGAACTGAGCCTTAGGGAACACTGATCCTTAGGCATGCAGAGTTCATCATTCATCCTCTGGTTACATGGAAAGAGAACCCTTAACCTCTTGCATTTAATATGACTTATAGCTACTTGCCTGGTGAAGAGGGTGTAAGTAACCATTATCTATTTATAAACCCAGGCAGTCAAGTTCTATGGCAGGTAGAGCAGTGGCCTGGCTTCTGGCTTTATCTGAGCACTGGGTGTCTTCAGGGCCCACATTCCAAACTGCAGCAAGTGCTGAAAGCTGGAGGGTGAAACTACAGGGTAAGGGACCCACCACAGCCTGGCTTCACACTAGTCCTCACTGATCTTGTCATTGCAACTTGAAATGCAATGTGGCCAGTAAAGCATTTCACCTACTGTTTCAAAAAAGGCAGCTTATAAATTATAAAATAATAAAATATATCTAAAGCTACCAAAATATTGAAAGGCTGGAGAGATGGCTCAGTGGTCCTTGGGAGCACTGGCTGCTCTTTCAGAGGACCTGAGTTCAGTTCCCAGCACCCATATAATGGCTAACAGCTGCCTGTAACTCCAGTATCTGATGCCCTCTTCTGGCTTCTATGGGCGTTGTACGCATGTGGTACACTTACATACATATAGGAGAAACACTCTTACACATAAAATCTTTTTAAATAAACAAAAAAAAGTTGTTGCTGTATTGGTTTTAAGGAAATATAGTAATGGGAATAAATGAAGGGATCAAATAGACAATCTATTGAACTAGGTTTAAGTGATAAGAAATCTTTATCACTATCACTGATAGCCTAAACTGACTTTATTCAGTAAGCTTTGGCTCGTCCCTCTCCTACGAATGCCTGAACAGAGCCAGTTAGTGGAAGTGTCACTACCAGTGTCAAGCTTTGAAGGTTGAAAAATGATGTAGAACTCCATTAATATATATAGTGGTTTTTTTTTTTTTACTTTTATGGGATTTTTTGATTAGCGTATATAAGAGGTTTAGTTATGACCTTTGCTTTTTTATTAATTAAAAAAATTATGTAAGTGTAATGCACTGGGCATGTTCCCCCCATCCCCCCACCCTCCTTTTTGGTGGTCTCTCCCCCTCCCGCCTTGTTCCCCTAGACAGTTTTACTTTCATTTTATATATACATGCACAATTTTATATAACTATAAAATCTAGTAAACAAAAATGAGAGAAAACAGGATATATTTTTCTGAGGCTGGCTTAGTTCAATTAATGTAATTTATCTCCAGTTAATTTCATTATTCTTTATGGCTAAAAAAAAATTCTGGGGCTGAAGAGATAGTTCAGTGGTTAAGAGCAGTGGCTTCTCTTGCAAGGGACTTGGATTCAGTTCCCAGCACCCACATGACAGGAAACATCCATCTGGGTATAACTCTAAAGCCAAGGGCTCTGATGTCCTCTTCTGGCCTCCATAGGCATTGAACACATGTGGTACACTTACATGCAGTATGACGTGATCATCTTATCCTTTCTGATTAATCTTCATTTGTAATTTTCTTGTCCAATATTAGAACAGTGGTACCTGCTTATTCCCTAGTTTGTTTCGAGGCCCTCCTGGCTGTTAAAGTTTCTGTTGAGAGTCTGCTTTTACTCTGATGTGCCTGCCTTTGTGCAAAACTTAGTGTCTCTCCCTGGAAACTTTCAGTATACTTTCTTTGCTCCATATATGTAGAGCTTTAACTATTACACAGCACATAGAGGTTCTTTTCTGGCCTTGTCTCTGTGTTCTAGATGCCAAGTAGGCATCTCTCCCTTGATTTTGGAAACTTTCTGAAGCAGTTTCATTGAAAATGTTTTCTGTCTTTAGCATGAAATTCTCCTTTTATGCCCTTAGATTTTGTCTTTTCATGGTTTCTTATAGATGCCAAACGTTTTGTTCATATCTTCCTATTAATTTATTTTTGTCTTTGTGTGAATGTTCTAATTTCTCTACCTTCACTTTAGACTCTGATATTCTGTCCTCCCGTTTATTGATAGCATTCTATTGACGAGGCTTTCCACAGAGCTTTTTATTTGACTTACTCCAATTTTCATTTCCAGTATTTCAGTTTTTTTCTATCCTTTTTTTTTTCTTTTTGGTCGATTTTGAGACAGTGCCTCCCTATAGCCCCAGCTGGCCTGGAACTTACTATGTAGACCATGCTGTCCTTAAAACTCACAGTTTTGTTTTTTTCTTTGATATTTCTCTGTCTGTTGAATTCTGTCTTGACTTTCTTCTTATTGTTGTTGTTGTTGTTGTTATTATTGTATGTATGTATGAGTGTGTTGTCTGCATGTGTGTATGTGCACCCATGCCATAAAATGCCCACAGAGGTCATAAGTTGGCATCAGATCCCATGGAACTGGAGTTATGAACAGTTGTTAGCTGCCATGTGGGTGCTGGGAATTGAACCCAGGTCCTCTGCAAGAGCAGTCAGTGCTCCTAACCGCTGAGTCGTCTCTCCAGCTCCCACTTTCTTATTTTATTCAGCTGTTTGTATTCTTTTGAAATTTATTCAGAAGTTTGTTTTGGTTCCTTTGGACATACATACAATCATTCTTCTGAATTCTTTTTCTGAGATTGCACCTAATTCATTCTCATTAGTGGCCACTGCTATGGGATTAATAAAATTTAGAGGGGTCAGATTACCTTGGTTTTTCATGTCCTGCTCTGGTGAGGTTTGAGAGGAGGTTACTTCCTGGCACCTCTCCTTTCCATCGGACTATGCCATAAGTTACACTTACACTATAAATTTTCATTATTAAAAACTTTTTTTTTACATTTATTTATTTAGGGGTGTGTGTGTGCCACAGAATACATCTATAAGTCAGAGGACAACTTGTAGGACTTGATTCTCTCCTTCTACCTTGTGGGTTCCAAGAATCAAACTCGGGCTTGGCAGCAGGCATCTTTACCCACAGCCATCTTGCCAGCCCTGACTAATATTATTTATATGAGAGAAAGGGAGACGAATTTGATACATAGGAAATACACACTTTTGCCATTGGTACCAGTTGTGCAAATTGCTGGCTCTCTAGGCACCTTTCACACCTCTAAGCCTCATTTGATAGGGAAGACCATGACTATCATAAAATTTGATTTCCTAGCAATCCCTGCATTAAGGTGATGAAAATTACTCACCTGTACCAAAAGCACTTGAGAGCTTGAAAATTTAAAAGTCGAGTATAAATGGAAACCAACGATAAGAACAACAGTTGGACTATAATGTTTCAGATGCTTTGCCCACCTGATTTCTTTGGCATTTGTAGCTTAAACCAGGTTAACCTTGAGCTTTCCAGCCTCCCACTTCATCCTCACAAGTACTAGGGTTATTGGGACATGTTACCACATTCAGCTAAACCATCTATTTTTCTTTCCCCTTCTTAGTTCTGACCCTTTGTCTAATAGACAACATGTTCTTCCTTATACATATGGACAGAAGAAATGTTTTTTTTTAAACAGCATATCAAAAAGTTTACGAATTTTAACCAGATGTGGTGGCACATGCCTTTAATCCCAGCACTCAAGAGGCAGAGGCAGGCAGATCTCTGTGAGATCGAGGCCAGCTTGGTTTACGTAGCGAGTTCCAGGGCAGCTGTGGCTATAGGGAGACCCTATCTCAAAAAAAAAAAAAACCTTATTTGTTTAAATTCAAATGCTCCCATGGTTTGTGTCAACCTCTTTAAATAGTCAAAGCAAATGATCTTTAAAATAACTCGGATTTGCAGTTAGGTTACAAGGCTACTAACCCTGCTATGATAAATGAATTATCTTCTAGTGATGGTGATTTCTATTCATTTTAAATTGACTGTCAAGTTTTATCCTGGAAAAAGCACTCATATAATTTTGTGTGCTTTCATCAAACTTTCCCAGTCCCCAGATCTGAGTTCGTCTTCTTGCTTAACTCTTTCTTTCTCCTTGAGCACTCTTTACCCATCCTTCATTACTTAACCTTTCTTCTTCAAACTCATTGGCTTTATAGGACAGGTATTCTGTACAACGTGAGTCTCAGATAGTACCACATATAGTTCTTGACTTACAAGTTTTATAATCAGTGTCAGTGAACTTCATCTGTTCATAAGATATTGAATGTCTTAATGCCACATCAAAATTAATAAATATGAGATACATAATCTGCTTCTTCCCCAGGTCAATCAACTTCATGGCATCCCTAAGCTCCTGCAGCTGCTCAAAGTTCAGAGCGAAGATGTTCAAAGGGCCGTGTGTGGGGCCTTGAGAAACTTGGTATTTGAAGACAATAACAACAAGTTGGAGGTAGCTGAGCTAAATGGAGTACCTCGGCTGCTTCAAGTGCTGAAGCAAACCAGAGACTTGGAGACGAAGAAGCAAATAACAGGTATTGCTTAGTGGGCACTGCAGAGCCTAGTGACATGGAGTTCAGCCAGTGTGGTGCTCTGTGTTTTCCTTGTTACCTGGGCAGATGATGGCAGAGCTCATCGTTTATCCAAGAAATGACTTAGATCTCAGAATCAAACCTTGTCTGAACTCCTTGTTTTTAAAGGAGAAAATAGTCTGACGCTTTTGCTCAATATTTTAAATGAGAAGTTATATAAACCTGTGAATAAAAGTCTTGGAAACAACTTATTTTTTTGGAATTTTTGAGACAGGGTCTCCTTGTAGCCCCAGCTGGCCTGGAACTCACTATGTAGATCAGGCTGACCTTGATCTCACAGAGATCTGTCTGCCTCTGCCTCTCAAGTGCTGGGATTAAAGGCTTGCGCCACCATGCTTGGCCTACCTTGTATTGTTTTAGTACAAACTCTTTAAGCCAATTCTTATTCTGAATTTTTGGTCTTTTTGAGACAGGGTCTCCCTGTAGCCCCAGCTGGCCTGGAATGTACTATGTAGACCAGGCTGGCCTTGAACTCACAAAGATCCACCTGCCTCTGCCTCCCAAGTGCCGGGATTAAAGGAGTGCACCACTACACCCGGCTTGGAAACAGTTTTTTGACAAGATTTATGTATGACATGAAAATTCTTCGTAAGCTCACTAATAGCCTGCATTGTAGTTTGAGAGTGTGTGGGGTTTTGATGCTGTTCCAGGTATCTAAAACACTCTAAAGGAAGGCGACAGAAGCGTGCCCATAAATTTACTCAGCAGTTTATGGCTTCAGCACAAGGGAAGTGAAACGGAGAGTGAAATCCTTTCTCATTGAGAAGGATCAATGAAATCAAATTGGTCAAAATATGAGAACTTTTGTTCCTATCTTTATGTCACCTGGATCCCTCTTACTACCTTCTGTCGCTTCACCTCTGAAAAAGATAAAAGACTGGCTAAATACACTTTTTAGCCCTCTACCTCACATGGGGAGGTATGGCAGGAGGCAGCTAGAGCAGAAAGCTGAGCATTCACATCTTCAAGCAGGCACAGGAAGCAGAGAGAGACTGGAAGTTGGAACAAGCTTAATGAACTCTCAAAGCCCGCCCCCAGGAACAGGCTTCCTCCAGCAGGGCCGCACCTCCTAAAGGTTCACAGGACCTTCCCTCAGTAGCACCAGGAACTGGGGACCCAAGGTTCAAATACTTGAACATATGGGGACACTTCATTCAGACCACCACAGGAAGTTATCCTCGTTTACCTGAATTATGCATCCAGGAGGGAGAAAGTGGTTTGTGACTTTTCTTGCACAGCACACACTCTGATCACATGCCCTGTACACTTCATAGAGACTGGAAGCATCACTGAGCAGTAGTGATGCATTGAAAACTTTGAGTAAATGTCTTTCATATTTCTCATGTGATGCGCAAACATTTTGAAATGTGATTATCAGCAAAAGCACTTTAGACTTTGAGATACTATGAGGTATTAAATCTCAGTTTTACTGTCAAGGAAACTAAGGCTCAAACTAGGCAGTATTTTTCAAGTTCTCAAAAGGTTTTGAGAATTAATGAGAAGCTGATGTGTTCTGATATTTTCTCTGCAGTACTGGGACTCAAACAGGTCCTCGTGTGTGTTAGGCAGATGTACTGTATGTAACAACATCCTCAGCCGCCACTAGATCCTAAGGAGTACTGCATACATGTTAATTTGACCTTGGATGTGTTATCCCTTCTGCCTTCCATAGTTCAATAGACAACTTTCTTCATTTTTTCTGTAAAATTTTATCCATATATTTTATTTAAGATACTATATTTTCTGTATTTTTTTTAACTATGCCAGGACCATGTACATGCTGAGCTTGGGATACCCAGCCCTTATTTTTATATATTAATTGTATAAAACTATACGAAAGGTTGTGCCAAACTACGTCTCTGTCCACATGCTCTGTGTCCCATACAAGATTTCCTCTCTTCTCCGTCACTTACATGAAAGTATCTGTAGAAATTAAAAGTGATACTGTTCATTCAGCCAACATTTACAGAGCAGATTCCAGATGTTAAGGACTGAGTCTTGCAGCCTGAGGAGGCTGTTTTGTTTCTCCATCACCTCAAGCATAAAAAATTGTGTGATAAAAGACCAAACTTTCCACTTGAAGATTTTATTTTTTTATATTTAGTTACGTGTATGTGAGTGAGTTTATACACATGAGTGCAAGTGCCATGGAGGCCAGAAGAGCATCAGGTCCCCGAAAGCTGAAGTGACAGGCTGTTGTGAGCTTCCTGACACTGTGCTGCAAACTGAACTTGAGTGCTCGCAAGTGCTCATAACCACAGCGCTGTCTCAACACCAAAACTTTCCAATTAGAACCCAACATTTTCTTCATTAACATGAACCTTGAGTCAAGCAGCTTCTCCTCTTTTGTAGTCAGAAATGACTCAAAGGAAGGAGGTTCTTACTGTGGATCTTAAAGGTGGTCAAGGGCTTTGGAATGTTATTTTGAAGGAGAAAGTTATTTTTGGCAAAATGACCATCACTAGAAAGAAAATAAGTGGAAAGATCTGCTGGTCATCAAAAGGAACCCTGGAAAATGGTGCTTGGAGCCGGGATGCATAGAAGCAGGGGAGGGAGAAGGGGGTTGTTTCAAAGGAATAACCCATTAAACCACCCTTCTCTTGTGTAGATGACAGAAAGCTCAAGTCCGAGAACATTCTGTGATACTCCATAGAAACCATTCAGGCATTAGAAGGTATCTACAGAACTGATGAACGGGACCTGATTGTACAAGCCAGACCTCCCTATAAGAGACATTTATTCAGATTAATTGATACTTTGACATTTGATAGAAATCGTAATTTACTCCCTTTAGATACAGAACAACTCGATAAGTGCTTTCTATGCCTCAGAAAAAGACCTATCATAGACACATTTATGTAAGAAGCTTTTCTTTATGATCAGTTCTCACTTGTCTCACTTTCATTTACTCTTCCTTATTCTTCAGTGAAGGTAGCAAGATTAATTCAGTATAAAAATCTGTGTTTTGCTGTATAAAAGTTAAGACATTAACTTAGATAATTGTATTTCCTGTTCTGGTGGACAATATTAGCAAAATATTTGTTTTAATAGCTATAAGTTCCTTTTATTAGTTTTTGCTTTTGGGGGGGGGTCTTTTTGAGACAGGGTCTCCCTGTAGCCCCAGCTGTCCTAGAACTCACTATGTAGACCAGGCTGGCCTTGAACTCACAGAGATTGGCCTGCCTCTGCCTCCTGAGTGCTGGGATTAAAGGCATGGGCCACCACGCCTGGCAGTTTTTGTTTTTTTATAACATCACAGTTGACCATAAGTTTCTGAGTAATGGAGATATTATCTCTCTTATAATTGCTATGCATTCAAATTCTCTCTCTAGCCAGAGTCCAGTTCCCTTTCTTTTTGGCAAAAATGAGAACCTGAGAGGCACAAGGATGTTAGGCCATACATAGAGGTGGGCAACAGATGTCTATTAAGGGACTAAAGATTGCTCAGGATAATTGGCTCCCAGTTTGTAACATTTCAACTCTTTACCATCACTGAAATTTTTAATCAGTCAGCCTTACAGATGTTTATTGTAGGTAAGGGTTTTTTGTTTTTTTTTCTGGGAGCCTCTATTCAGAAATATGAATTCCCATAATCTGTCATGAGAGTCTGGTAGTGTAAGTCTGGAATATGGCCCAGATTCTGATCTGTCACTGGGTTCCTTTGCACATCTCTATTCTAATACTAACTTCAAGATAAAATCCTTGTCAACATTTTGGTATGGTGTGAACTAATTTTCACTCACCTCAGTTATAGAGCTGGATTGTATAAGTAGATTTTTCTGTTTGTTTGTTTGTTTGTTTGTTTGTTTGTTGTTTGTTTTCAAAGTATCCCTTAAAATCTCCTTCCTTAAAATACTCGCTTGAGACAGATATGGTGGTGCCTTTAATTCCAGAACTCAAGAGGCAGAGACAAGCAGCTCTCTGTGAGTTTGAAACCAGCCTGGTCTACATAGAAAGTTCTAGGCCTACCAGGGTTACAGTGACTTCATCTGTTTAAACAGGCTTTTTTCAGTTAGTGGACAACATGCATTCCCCACTTACAGTAACACTAACATCTTTTAGTTTTGTCTTAAATAGTTTCCCTATTTCTAGTTGATTGCATACTAAGTTTGCGTATTTGTAGAAAGGTGTTTGTATTATGTGTATTAGCCTCTCTCTCTCCTCTCTCTCCTCTCTCTCTCTCTCTCTCTCTCTCTCTCTCTCTCTCTCTCTCTGTTTTTTGTTTAGTTTGGTTTTGGTTTTTTTGAAACCTCTGTAGGGTCTCCCTGTAGCCCCAGCTGGCCTGGAACTTACTATGTAGACCAGGCTGGCCTTGATCCCAGAGAGATCTGCCTGCCTCTGCCTCTCAAGTGCTGGGGTTAAAGACCTAAACCACCATGCCTGGCTTTAGTACATGTCTCTTGAGTAGTTTTTTTCCAGCTATATGCCATTCAGAAATTTGATGGCTATGACATATCTATACAGTATCCTACATTAAAACTTCCTAAATGACACCCAAACTGCCCAAACAGTAGACTTCTGTAAAAGTAGTATAGCATGCCAAACTATAAAGGACATTGACTCATAAAGGAACATTCCATTCCATTCCCTTTTTTTCAAATTAATCCTCTCTGGTATTTTGTTTTGTTTTGTTTATGTGTATGAGTATACTGCTTGCATGTATGTAAGTGCACCATGTCATGCAGTGCCCTACAGAGGCCAGAAGAGGGTGTCAGATCCCCTGGAACTGGAGATACAGATGGTTGTTAGCTGCCATGTGGGTGCTGGGAATCAAATCCAGGTGCTCTAGAAGAACAGCAGGTGTTTTTAACCACTGAGTCATCTCTCTGGCCCCTTCTCTCTGGTTTTTATTGTAAGATATATTATGAGTATCTCATATGGTCCTTCATAAAAACAGGAAGCTTCATTGTGTGTCTCTTCTTTTTGACATTTTCTAACTTTTTTTAAAAAAAAATGTGTTTTTATTGAATTTTTGTGTATTTTATGCAGAATATCTCAAAGAATATAATCTTTTTACCCCGATCCCCACTGGCATGCTCCCACAGCCCCCCCCACTGGAACCCATATAGTCTCATCCATATTAAGGCCCAGTATGTCAAGTCAGTGTCCCCAGACGTTCCCCTGTGCCAGTCCATCCACTGAGGTCTAGTCAGCCTATCTAGAGTCTCTTGTTTTAGGAGATCAGCTCTTCTTCACCTAGCAGCAATCAGTTGCCAATATTTCCTCAGCTAAGACTGGGGTCTGCTGTTCATTTCCCCAGTTCTGTGCTGGGTTTTTGTCTGCCTGAGTTTGCATGGGGCTTTTGTTTGCTGGCATCATTGTCATAGAATCATATGAGCAGGGTTCCAGGAGCTTGTAGAACTCTGTTTCCATATGGTCCTGCACCTCCTCCCTGGCTCTTACAGTCTTTCCTCCCCCTCTTCCTCAATGGCCGCTGGCCGGCAGACCCTGTCAGTTTGTTTTCTTATTTAGAACTCAAGAAAGTTTACTTGTTTCTCTCTCTCACCTTCTCTTTCTCCCTCTCCTCTTCTTTCTAAGTTTCTTTGTAGCTAAGTAACTCAACTCAACCTCAGACCAGCTTTTGCCTCACCTCCAACCACCTCTGATTTTTATTCTATCTGCCCCTTCCAGGGATGCTTAAGATGAAGTGAGAGGAATTAAAGCCATTGTAATGCATGGCTGAGAGATACTGCTCCTGACTAACCTCAAATGCTAGTTGACCAGGACAAGACTTCCTGCAGTTGAGTTCTCACCAGACATCCAGTTCTCCAGCTCTCACCCAGTTCTCACCATATCAATGGAAGCTATGTGTAGGCTGCATGGAAATTTGGTTCCTGTTTCAAAAATTAGTTATTATACACAGCCAAGGCAAACTGTTTAAACCTGAAACATTAAACCTAAAGTGTTCTAAATGATTGAGCCATATACACCTGGACTGAATAATTACCAAGCTTTCACTGTGCAGACCATTGCTTCAGTCATTTAAAATCAGGGGTGACCATATCACCTCTTAATTCAGCAAAGATGGCCAGATTTTTGCTTTCATCGTGAAGTAGACTGCCTGTACCTGTGCTGTCCTGTTGGAACAGACACTGCAGTACATTTAAGAAGTAGGAGTTACTGACTGGCAGGAAGGGAGAATCATCCTCTTTCTTCCCTTTCTTTCCCCTCTTTCCTGAATGTTAATGAGTTGGAGCAACCTGTTGGGGAGTGAAAGATGGCCAGGAGAGTTTACACAGGGTTGGAGTCATTGGCACAGAAGCAGCAGGTCATAATTTCTTCCAGAGACAGAAGCAGCAGGTCATAATTCTTCCAGAGTCAGAAGTATCTCAGCACCAGATTTACTTTTTAAAAAAACCCTCCATGTCTATGACTTTTCCATTCTCTTTCAGCACCAAGTTCCAGTTTCTGTGTCATATAAATGCCCTGGAAAGCCTCATGTTTTATTTATCTTCATTTTCTCCTGGTTGGCCTGTATGACCTTTCAGTGTAATAAGTTGTATGAAGAAATGTGATTTTAATCTTAAAACACATAAATGTGGATAGCTAAAACGCAGCACTTTAGTTTTACTGCCGAACTCTAAAAGAAATACAAAAGATATTTAGCATAAGTTTCTAGAGGACATAAATCCCACCATTGAGTAGCAGCTGGTAAACATAACTGGAATGTTGATCAACCTACTTTTTTACACAAAGAAAAAAGTGTTCTGCAGGCATTCCTGCTGTGAATGGGACAGATAATGCTGGGTGAAGGGGCAGCAGTTAAAGATGTCATCTGCCTCCCTGTATTTCTCAGGGAGGAAAAGCAGAGCTCAGAAATTGTTGAAATGTTAGCTGTAGTAGGACTGTTTCAAACCTCCCTTTTGATGAGCCAGTTTATTATCCCAATGGAATCAGCTTTGTAATAAAGAATTTAGAAGAAACAGCAATTAAAACTTAAATGAATGTTAGTTACTCTTCTTATTGCTGAGACAAAATACCTGATTAAAGAAACAGCCTAAGAGAGAAGTTTATTTGGCCAGTTTCACGAGATATAGTCCATCATGTCTGGGATGGCATGGTAGGGGTCACTGGGGCTGCTGCTCACAGAAGAATGGAAGCAGAGAGGAAAGGGCCAGGGATCTGTGACCCCAGTGACTTGTCCCAGCCACCTATTTCCTTCAGCTAGCCCCCAAAGATGGCACCACCATCTGGAGGATGAGCTGCAGAACATGAGCCTGGGGCATGTTTCAGATTCAAACCATAGCACAGTGTTTCTAGCTTTCATTCACATTGCTGATCAAACCTTCATGCTTTACATAATAAGTGATATATGTTTAGTTCTTGGGAATCAGCTTCTGTTACCATCAACCAAGCTTTAAACAAGTAAATGCCTGTTCATAATGCTGGTGGCCTCACCTGGGCTTTTCATCACTGTTCTCATGGTGGCTGTTTTTCTAGGTCTGCTTTGGAACTTGTCCTCCAATGACAAACTCAAGCATCTCATGATAACAGAAGCTTTGCTCACCTTGACAGAGAGTGTCATCATCCCCTTTTCAGGGTGGCCTGAAGGAGACTATCCCAAAGCCAATGGCTTGCTTGATTTTGATATATTCTACAATGTCACCGGATGCCTAAGGTAATGCTACTTCATTCCTCCCCCATTTAAGTAAAAAAATGTAATCAAATTACACACCCAAACAGAAGTCAGCAAGTTCTGTTTTTGGTCCTTTCTGTAGTTACATAATTTATTTTTTATTTTGTTTGGGTGATAACTAAGGGCATTTATTAAGATAGGGCATTACTCTCCAGTTAATCACACTAATATATATATCAAATACTTTTGTGTAAAGCATTATGTTAGGTACTGGGAATTATACGAAAATAAGTTAATAAATTTACTCAGTCACAATTTAAATAAGATAAGCCACAAAACAGTGATCAAAAAGTATTTGAATGGAATGACTGAAGAAATACATGGTAAATTGGGTGAATAATTAAGTCTGGCAAGAAGATAAGGCTAGGGATCAAGTAGTAGAGCACTTGCCTAACAAGCAAAAGCTCTTGCAGAAAAAAGCATCTGAAGTTTGAAGTAGAAAGTAATCAAACAGAAGTTGGAAACAATCTAAAGACAGGTTGCAGAAGCCTTGCAGGTGATAATAGGATTTTTTTTTTCTTCTGTAAGTAAAATCAACTAGTGTCCCACCTCAAACCCATTGAATTGGAAATGGATTAAAGGAGAAAAAAATACGTAAACAGGAAAAGTATATTGAGAAGATGATTCTAGACTAGCATAAGGAGTAAAGGAAAACAGCTGTGTGGACTGAGCCAGCAAGGAAGTGATTGCTGATTGTTGACAACTCTTCATAACTCAGTGGTGGGAATTCTTGGTGGGAATGTTTTCACTAGGAAACGGGCAGCTACAAATCCAACATCTCCCACATCTCCACACCTAAATGTGGTTGGCAAGACATTTGCTAGCACACCACCACTGACACTGGGTTTCCATTAAGTGATTATTATATCATGAAAATATAAACAAGTAGTATAGTATTTCTCCATAAACATCCCTTTTCAAAGAAGAAACTTGTTTTTTGAAAGCCTTTACGAAACCTCAGCATTTCCTGCCCTTTTTTTTTTGTTGTTTTGGGGAGAGGGGTTGTTGTTTGTTTTTGAGACAGGGTCTCCCAGTAGCCCCAGCTGGCCTGGAACTTACTATGTGGACAAGGCTGGCTTCAAACTCACAGAGATCCACCTATCTCTGCCTCCTGAATGCTGGCATTAAAGGCGTGCACAACCACACCCGGCTCTTCTTTCTCATTAAAAGAGAAAACTTAAGAAAATATCCCTCCCTTTTTTCCCCAAAGTTGCCTTAATTTACTTGTAGTAATCAGGGTAATTTATTTAAAATATTGTGTAATTTACTTAAAATATTTGGTAATTGATTGCAATTAGTAGAACACTCTTCCAAGTAGTTCAAACTCCAAAAGATTTATGTGACAATCACTGAATTATAGATTATTGCAAAGTAATAGCTGCTGCTGTCCCTCATCACCCCTGCCATAAGCCTCTTTAACTAAAACAATTTCATCCCATGGTTCATTATACCAGTGCTTTGTGGCCTAGCTGTGAATCGTGTCTTCTACCTTGCTGACTGGAAAACTTTCCGATGTAACCAGTGGTTGTTATTAGGGAATTTCCAAGCCTGGAATTTCTGCCAGAGATTATTACTTCTTCATCCCTCTGTAACTATATAATTATGGCTTCCTTCCCTCTCTCTCTCTTTTCCTTCCTTTTTCCTAGTAAAGGACAAGAGGGAGCAGTTTAGAATAAGGAATTAAAATGCCTCCGGGTTGGCAGGTGTAAGGCCCCACGAAATGACGAGGAGTGAGGCTCTGTCAGACCCGAGCAGAAAAGGCATTTGCCCCGAGAGTAATGTGAGTTGAAGTTTTAGAACAGAGTTCAGGTGAAATACAAACATACCCAGATGGCCTCTGTTACTAACAGGATGATTCTTCAATGGAAGTTCAGCACCAAGACCCTTCCACAACTATAACCCAGTTTTCAGAAGCTTGAGGAGGGCAAATCGTCCAGTCTTCTCAGGCCTTAACTGCTGGCTGGCCTTCGTTTATGTTCTCATCCAACCCTGTCATTCTTTGAGGACTTATTAAATACCTATATAAAAATAACAGTTTAGGTTTCTGGAATTTCAAACAGGAAAAGGATGTATTTTTGCCCAGGAAGAATTCTGTATTTGGTGGAGACAGTGGTACCTGAAGGACAAATGACACTGAAGGCGAGAGAGACACGAAGAACTGGTACAAAGGCAAGGAACTGCTTAACTAAAATCGCTCGAGAGCGTGAGACATGCCGTTATCCCAGCTCGTGCGCATGTGAAATTACAGCCTGTCAGTGACTCGTTACCTCAGCTCGTGTGTATTGTCAGTATCAACTATATCACATTTAACTGGCATTTTAAAAATGTCTTCCAAGAACAATTGCACCATATTTAGCACGGAAAGGAAAGCTTATTGCATATTCAGAAAAACGTGAATCCAAAGCAGTGTTTGGTATTAGTGATGCCAATGTTTGTTGTTAGAAAGTGATCAAGATTCCATATTTTCTTGTAAAGCAACAACAAAATGCTTTAGGGGATCTGAGAAAGGAAGACGCCCACAGCCTGATGAAGCTGTGCTACATTTTGTCAGTGAGGCACTTGCAACAGGGCTCTCTGTCACACATGTAGCAGGTGGAGAAATTACCAAAACCCTCAGAATATAAACAAAATTCAAAGCAATGAGAGGCTGGTGTGACCACTTCATGGGGCAAAGAAGACTCGTGTTAAAACCTCAAGTGCTGTTTCATCCAAAGCATCCTGCTGATACTGGGTAGAAGGCAGTGGTGGCACCTCCTCCTCCACAAAGTGCTGTATCACAGGAGTCTGGATACCAAGGGTCATGTGTGGGAGAATGCAGACCTCAATCCCTGTGATTTGAAAAGCGATTCAGAAGAGGTGGACTCAGAACATGAAATTATAGTTATTTCATACTGTTCTTTATATATGCACAAGAATTATGTGATGAAATATCTTTAAAAGCACCATTTGAATAAATACAAAATAAGTATTTTCAGCAATACAGGGGAAAAATAGAATAATAATTGATAATGCCCCCAAATAATTTTTCTGAGTTGTTACCTGTTTACTTATAAGAAAGGTTTATGAAAGTACTACCCTAACCTTATCAGCACAATGTAATTCTGAATTAGTCAAAGCCACTCCAGAATTTTCATTTGGAATAGCCGTTCTTTAGAAAAGAATTGTGTGTGTGTGGTGTGTGTGTGTATATGTGTGTGTGCGCATCTGTGTGTGAGTATGCACATGTGTGTTTGGGTACCTGTGGATGCCAGAACAGGGAATAGAAGCCCCTGGACCTGTTGTGAGCTGCCTGATGTGAGTGCTAGTAACTGAACTCAGGCCCTCTGCAAGTGCTCTTAAGTGCTGGCAATTTCTCCAGCCCCTCCATGTAATTTCTAAAATATATTTAATTGCATCTATCTTTTGCAACACACACGCTCTCTTACATACACAGACAGAGTGAATTAATGAATGTAAATCTTCATGCATGTGTGAATACCAAGCTTAGAGCTTCCATGCATCTATGTTTCTGTAATTGCGCATTTCTATTTCAGTTATCTTTGCTTATTTATCATTTTTTTTCAACATTTATGATAGAAAAACTTTTATGATCTAGCCTTGTGCATAATCCTAGATAATTAAAAAGAATTTTAATAAATGAGGTGATATATTTAAATAAATAATTTCTTTATTGAATGAAGTTGCTTTTAAAAAACCATAATCTATGTGCTAAAAAGCAATTTGCAAAATAATGTAGAAAGTAAATGCTGAGATAGAGGAAAGCTGATGTAAGTAGAATGGCTTCCAGAAATAGGAGATGCTTGAATCAGCTTCAGCTTCTTGGCCACTTAACCTCTTTGCATTTGATTTATAAACACCAGCAATGTGTAGTCCATTACTAATGGAATTGCTGATATTTTTATTAATATTACTTTATCAGTTACAAGTATGTTTTGTTGGTTATTTTACTTATACAATATGTAAGTGCCTATTAATTATTAAATTAGCAAATAAACCTGGTCTGTTTTTTAATGTTTTACACACTAAGCTTCAGGAGTTTAGGCCATTGTTTTGAAATCTCTCAATAATTCTTAAGCTACTAAAGCAAGCCAAGCCCCGAATCATCGCGGCTGCACTCGTTGAGCTGGGCCTGCCAGGGAGCTGATCCGAAACCCTGTCACCCTCTTGCAAAGCGGTCTGCTGTGGAAGCCAGAATTCTCTATCTTAGTCATGTGCTTCACAGGTCAGCCAAGATTAATAACCATTCTTCACATAAATTACATGCATTTCTCTTTGCTAGGAACATTTTTTTATTCTTATTTCCTACTTTCATCCAGTTCTTAGGTAATTGTTAAAATACAAGAAGGGATAATATGGAGGGAAAAGAATCAGTGAAAGAAACAGAAGAATGAAGAATGATTTTTAAAAATTTGTGTGTGTGTATATATGAGAGAGAGAGAGAGAGAGAGAGAGAGAGAGAGAGAGAAGAGAGAGCACCCAAGTGCCACACCACACATGTAGAAGTCAGAGAACAACTTTAGGAAGTCAGTTCTCCTTTTGCTGTGGATTCTGGGAACTTAACTCAGGTGCTCAGGCCTTTGCAGCACATTTACCTGCTGAGCTGTCTCACCACTGGCCCCATAAGAATAATTTTTACTTATATTATGAGGACTAGTTTTGCTGATCTTTCCACACTGATTAATTTATAAGTTGAGTCTTGGACAGAAAATCAGATTTCCAAGAATGTCTTTGTCAGAGATTTCTTTAAAACATCCTAACTATTTTAAGGAAAAATGGTTGTATGTAGGCTAAATTGTAGGTAGCATCTTATGAACTGTGCTTAATTTAAAAAAATATTTTATTATTTTTTATTTTATGTGCATGAGTGTATTGCATGTATATAAGTGCACCTGTGTTGTTCAGTGCCCACAGGTCAGAAGAAGGTGTCAAATTCCCCTGGAGCTGGAGTTACAGACAGTTGTTAGCTACCACGAGGGTGCTGG